TAGCAACAATTTTTAGGTTTAACTTTGAAAAAATTTGAATATAATTTTGATTAATGTTTTTAACAGGGGAGGTATGCAGTATGAACTCCCTGGTTATTTCCCAGTTGCTTTGTAATTGTAATTCATTGGTAATTTAGATCCATTTATACAAATACTAAAGCGTAATTATAGATATAGAAACATAATTTTGTTGTGTTGCGTTTTTAGCTTAGCTTATAGCTCATTATATTATTTATTAGTGATATAAACTCTATTAATGATAAATGCAACGTTCTGTTTTTACCTTATTAAAAATGTATATATATTTGTGTAGCTGGGCTCCTGTCCACACTCCAGAACTGATTTTACATCATGTCAATTTAACCAGTCAAATGAGTGTAGCAGCTGATCATTGCATTTTATTTTGACTGACTTCTTTCAACAAAAGTTTTGAGGAAATAATAACAATCTAGACATTATGGAAACATTCTTAAATTAATAGAAAACAAGGGAGCTGGTCCCTGATTAAATCTCAAATATAAAATGGAGACAGTAATTGCAACAAGTTAATATTGCTGATGCATAAGGATCAGTGCCATTCTCATGTGGAATGGACTAGCATATGAGATTAAAATAGAAACATGGAAGTGAAGATTGTTGATTTTACATATTTTAATATATTTCAACATAACTGATGTGAAGATGGAATTGCCTCAGATTGCTACAGAGACTGAAGAAGACTGTTGTCTTCATTTGTATTTAAAATGAGGTAAATGTGGTCCACCATCCAAAAAGACACTTTTAATTTTAATGTGGAGCACATTCAAGAAATATCTAAAGTGCTTAAAATGCTATTTCTAAGACAGTAGTTGCAGTAGTATTCATGATGAGAGTTTCAGGCTAGCGTTCTGCGGGCCACAGCAGCGTGAGACTGACCTTACTTCCAGAGTCCTTGGGTCCACACTCTCCCTTGTCATACCACCATTTGTTTTTCAGTTTGTCTAAGACGCCTGCTTCGCTCAGTTTCAAAACTGCAAGGTTTACTGGGGTTCTTCGCGTGTAAAAATAACATAAATAACATCATAGGTCATGTTATTTTATGTTATTAGAGTATTTCTCATTTGCATTGCACATCTCAGTAACAAAGAAAAACTTTTGCTTAGATTGAGTGACCTAGCATGGATCCCACTGAATACATGTGTGTATGCTCGTTGAGGAGGGGCTGGGGGGAGCGAGGAGCTAAGGCGAGCTACAGACATATGAGTGGGACCCACCTTTGTCACTTCAGGTAACACACCCATGCTGCCCCAGCTCAACTTACAACAATCCAGAGGCAATTACTATTAAACCGGGACTATTGGCGTCAGGCTAGCTCTGTGTCACAACTGGGAGAGTGAGAAGTTCGCAAACTTACTTTGCATGCGTCGAAGCAGAAATGATCTTTTCTTTAAACTCTCCCTAATGCATATCATCAGAGAAAACAAATGGGTAGTTCTGTCTGTTGGTTGGTTGACTGTTTTGACCCCATTAGTTGGGAAATTTGGGGTGAGCATCAAAGGGTTAATCCGTTGGCAGTCATCAACAATCAGTCATCATCGAAATACACTAACAGGAAGACTACTGCCAGTCCACCACTTTGGGCTGTGACTAAAATCGATGGACTGCTATGATATTTGGATGAAACTAGGCAATGAAATTCTTGTGTTCCTAAAGATGAATTGAAATAATTCATCACAGAGTCAAAGTTTTATTTATTCAGTGTTTTGATTTGTGACAAAATCTAAATATATACACTGCTAATGATGGTTTCAATAATAGTTTATATAGTTGTGCATACTAACAATAATTAATATTAATTACATGACAAATAACAACTAATTAGCATGCATTTAGCTCAAAGCCTGTATCTAATTACAGCCACTAACAAGCATGTAGAATTTATTCCTGTGCAAATGAACTTGATAGACTGCATTTAAAATTTCTCAGTTTTCAAACTGACTAAAGGAATGAAACTTTTGTTAAAGATCTAGCTGAATACTTTTAGAAATTAAAATATTTGACTCTTTATCACACTATAGAACTTTTTTTGCTGAAAAATGTTCCAAATTGCTGAAATCACACATATCCTGTGATTGTTTTTTTTTTGGTTTTATTAATTATTCATCTCTCCACCTGCCTTTAGTCAAACTGAGCCTCTCAGGGGGTGTCTGCATTTGACTCTAACTAGACTGTTTGTTTTCTCTCTACTCTTCCCAGAGCTGCCACTAGGGGGCAAATATTCCCGTCTTGACAGTAATTGCTCTCTTTATTATTCCAGCTATCCATCAGGGAAACCTCTTTCCATTACTTTGCACTCTGTCCTGTCAGAGGGACATTACCAGTTCAGTGCAAAGCACCTTTAAAATGGTTATCTTCATGAGATGTGCTTGATTTATTTTGGCAGCTACTCAGAATAGGGATATTTTTCCATGCATTATAAAGAAAATGAGCATTTCCCCCCCTGATGATTCAAAATGAAAGTAGGATATATTTACATTTTCCAGCAATCGGGTTCTGGGTCTCTACCAGGTCCAGCCAGCTGATTCATTTAAAAAGAAGTTATTTCAGGGGTTTTCATTGTATGTGTATCAACAAGCTTCAAAGTGCATTTGTCATTGTGTCTGAACTTATATATAAAGTCACAGACCGTGGACATTAGCGCAACCATGTGCCTATTTTTGCAACTGCAGGTTGTCTCAAGAGATTTAAGCTATCTCTTCTATCCTCCCTGTACGCTGCGTGACTCTTTGCCAGGGCAGATGCATGTGTTACACTCCCAGGACGGGGGCTGTCGCGAGCCACTCAGCTGGTGAGCAGCCCCTGTCACCTGGAGGTGGGGGGGGCAGACAGAGAGGGCTAACCTTGGAATCCCCTCCCCCGCTGCCACATTCTCCTTTGTCATACCACCACTTGTTTTTCAATTTGTCCAACAGGCCCTGCTCGTTGAGTTTTAGCACGGCCAGGTTGACCGCGTTTCTTTAAGTAAAAAAGGAGGAACAGATAAGATAGTTTGGTCAGAGCAGAGGATGGAGGGACAAACAGACAAGATGGACGGGGGACCGTAGTCAGGAGAAGGAAAGGGAAAAGGAGGACGAGAGGGAGCAGAAATTAGGATGGGCTGAATTCACACATACAGGTGAGTTAGAGGGGAAAACCGCACCCCGGACAACGCTCTCCCTTACTATCACTCCTTGACTTACTTCTGGAATTTTTTCCAAATTTGTTTTGTGGTTTTACAAAAAAAACCCTCTTGCGTTACTCTTCTGTATCTGGCTGCACTAACATCAGATGCTACCACAGTGAGTGTCAGATTACTGGTATATAGTGTGTTAACCAGGTCTCTGTAGTGTACTGATGAGGCACTTGCCCCCTCCTGCTGCCCCCCTGCCGTCCTATTGCTCTGTGTGTGCACATTGTGTTTGTGTGGCCTCCGTTTCCTAAGGCCCTGCTTACTCTGTTAAAGGGACTGACCTCTAAACAAAATTCAGGGACACAGGGATAACTATTTGGCATCCGTACAGTGTATGTTTGTCTGTATACCTAGCATGATTTTAATGAAATACAAAATCATTACTTGCCAATACTTCTTTGTAGATGTGCATGCAGTGTGTGGCCTCGAGTGTCTAAAATGTTTATGTTTAAGTAATTTAATTACATGTAAATTTTCCATGCAAAAAAGAACAAAAATTAATTGAATCTGTTTGAATGGCAATTTACTTCATCAATACACAGTTTTTAGCAGGGGTGTCAAACGTAAGGGCCAGATTCTGCCCCCCCAATGGCCATACTACGCCAAAGTAACAATACAAAGACATTTCTATATTAGAAATATTTCTTAATGATGATTTATTAATTATGAATTACTCTCCAGTAATTGTAACTGCAGTAGAGTCCGTGTAGCGAGCCACATGAACGTTTTTCTGTAATTTTACACACTTATTTATTTATGCTAACAGATTTCTTTCATTTACTACAGCAGCAATTTTTTTTATCATGTAGAACAACTGAGACATTAAATTGAAATTAAACTTCTTTTTCTTATTTTAAATGGGATTAAATGTGTAGTTAAACATCTTTACACTGACAGAAAAGGGAGTTTGGACTGTTTATGATGAAAGCGAGACGTATGTGCCCCATAATGTAAAATCAGTTTGACATCCTGGATTTATAGCAAACATCCATCCATCCATTTACTTCCACTGATCCTGAAGCCTATCCCAGCTGTCATAGGGCGAGAGGCGGGGCACACCCTGGACAGGTCGCCAGTCTGTCTCAGGGCTACACAGAGACAGACAACCATTCGCACCCACATTCACACCTATGGGCAATTTGGATTAATCAATTAACCTATCGCCACAAACTGCATGTCTTTGGACTGTGGGAGAAAGCCGGAGTACCCAGAGTGAACCCACGCAAACACGGGGAAAACATGCAAACTCCACACAGAAAGACCCCGCCTGTTGGTGGAATTGAACTCAGGACCTTCTTGCTGCGCGGCAACATTATTTGAAAAATCATGCTTCATGTTTACAAGGGCCAAGAGTTATGGTATGACTGTGTCATTTTCTGCTTTCTCTGCCACATCTTTGATTTTTACAGCTGCCCATGAACTCTTTCCTGTCATCCTCTTCTTGTGCGACTGTGCTCTGCTTTTGTTTGTGCGATGCTGATCGGCCATACTAATCTCTGCACAAAGGCCACAGCAGTCGCTGCGTACTTGTTTATTTGTCTGGCCCTTTGTCTGTGCACTTGCCTATCTGGAAGCACTATCTCATCTCTGACGGTCTGATGGTACACTGGTGTTAAGAGCTTAGAAACAATATTCGAGAGATTCGAGAAGAGACAGCGTTCTCTGGGGTGATCTAATCTGCCGGCCATGACTAATCTCATCAACATAAGAGGAATGGATGAAAACAGTTCAAAAAGATCTGTAAAGCATGATAATGACAGTCACATATTAAAAGTCACATCAAAAGGAGTCATATAGCAGAAAGTAAACAATACTATTAATGTTCAGCTCAGTCAGCAGAGTATTCATGCTCTTCATCATCATCACCATCATCATCATCACATCAAATGATTACTGCACCAGGAGGAGAGGCAGGCTCATCCGGCGTGCGCACTCGCAGCCTTGTGCAAGTCTGTTTCTGCAGACTGAGAGCAGCCAGAGACAACCGTGGATAGTCCCAGGTATGTGTTACGGGGGAGCTTCCAAAGGAACCTATCCACTTGCTGTCTATCACAATTTTCCCTCATAAACGGGAAAACCTTTTTTTTTTTCTCGTTTAAGAAAATAAGAGCTAAACTACAGGGCGACAGGGGTCTTGAGGAACTTTGCACCACACACAGGGGAAAGTTATAGGACATGGTGTGAGGCTGATGTGCTGTTTGTGCTTTGCCTTTTATGTGGCAAATCTGAAATGCTGACAGAGATAGATGGAGGAGAGAGGAGTGAGCAAGTGGTCCAGCTTTGCTGAATTTAGTCAATTATTTTTTTCTCTCAGCAGGCACTTGTCACATTGAGAAGACAAAGTTTCTTTACTGCTGTCACAGTCACCTGGAAAATGAATTATCTGCATTGCTGAGGATATCGCAGTGAAACCTATTGAGACTGTTACTGTAAGCTCAAGTTAACAAGCCAGAGAAACAAATGTCTACTGAGGGAAAAACAAGATAAAATGACCAACTTCACTTTGTCATTTGTTTCCTCCATCTTATGGTTTCTATTTCATGTTGATGCACTTTTCCCTTTTAAAAAAACTACTACTAATTTTTCTGTTTGTTGGGCTTTAATTTGAGATTGTTCAATTATCTATTAATTTAACTGGTTTAAAGATTGAAACTGTGTCTTTCTTTTGTTTGTGGATCTGTATTTTTCCTGTATTATATTTACTTTGAATTCCCCCCATTGGACAGGCCCCTCTGCTTCCTGTTCCTCACTTTTTTTCTTTTCCTGGTTGTCTATAAATTCCCCCCGTGGCTCTGGATGGAGTGGCAGCAGTCTGTGGTTCTGCCTCTCCTTGTGGTCATTCTCTGGTAATAAATCTCTCTTTTAATCATCGTCATGATCAGTATCATGGAAGAGTGAGATGATAGCAGACAAATGAACAGAGTTACCTGGAAGGTGGCCCTGTGGAGAAAAGGTGGTTGAAAATAGCAACAAAAAAGAAAGGAAGGACACAAGCACAAAGCGACGTATGGATGACAGCGACACAGGACAAAGACGGTGGAGGTGACATGCTTTGATTTAACAGATGGCAGAAGTGAGAGCAAAGAGTCGAACAGAATTACAAACAATACAAAAAGGAAGGCAGAAAGTGGGGGGAAAAAGAAATTAAGGTATTAACAAAAGAAAATATGACTAAACAAATGATTTGCACGTTTAACACATTTATCGAAGTCACTGCTGCTCGGTAAAAACATATAACTGCCATAAATCCATAAACTGTGTTAAATCAATAACATTTACTGTTAATTTGGGACTTTACGCTTGCGAGAATCAATCAATATCCACTTCGGTCAATTTTTACAATTCTTTGGTTGAGAAATTTTCACCAGACAGCAGTGAGAGGTTGATTTAGGTCAAGTATTAAAGGCACAGCAGGGTAGGTGGAATATCGCAGCAATAGTCCAGTATCAGCGTCGTTACTGTTTCCTATTGTTACACTATTCCACCCACCTTAACTGTGAGCCTTTCGGTGTTGCAATGCCGTATCCTTTGGAGTCCAGGTTGCCTCCGACTTTCATGGTATCACAAGGCTTTCGCTGCTCCGTGTATTCGTTCATGGTGGACTCGAGAAGGAAGGCGTACTTCCCCTTGGACTTTCGGACCCTTGCCACGCCTTCTGCTGTGGTTTTGGTGAAGACAGTTGGCTCAGCGGATTTCATATATGACCACATCTTCTCGTATACAGCTATTTTGGATCTCTAGCATGGAAGAGGGGCAAAGGGGAGAAAGGAAAAGGTTAACAGGGAATTAATGGGTATAATTCAAATTCAAATTCAAATTCAAATTCAAATTCAAATTCAAATTCAAATTTTATTTGTCACACACACACAACCATACACAGTATGACATGGGGGTGAAATGCTTGTAGCTGTACAATGCCCGACCATTAAATGACAGAAGAAAAGTTTTACAATATTTACAGTTTACTACAAAAATTTACAAATTAATTTAGGAATTTACAGTAAAGAATGTGCAAATAGCAGAAGAGATTATAAAGATAAGGATTATAAATTATAGGAATTATAGGATTATAGGAAATGTGTGGTGGTGCGTGTGGTGACGTGTGTGAGAGTCCAGTCTTATAGTGACGTGTTTGGGAGAGTCCAGTCCTACACCTGGTTCAGGGCCCGAATAGCCTGGGGGAAGAAGCTCCTCCTCATTCTCTCTGTTTTGGCCTTAAGGGAGCGGAAGCGCTTCCCAGACCTCAACAGTGAGAAGAGTCCATTGTTGGGATGGGAGAGGTCCATCATAATCTTCCTAGCTTTGGTCTTGCACCGCTTGGTGTAGATGGACAGCAGGTCAGGGAGCTCTGATTGAATGATGCGTTCTGCCGAGCGCACCACTCTTTGCAGATCTCGTCTGTCCTGCTTGGTGCTGTTCCCAAACCAGGTGCAGATGTTTGCCGTCAGGACGCTCTCGATGGTGCAGGAGTAGAAGTTCTTGAGCACCTTCAGTGGCAGATGGAAGTCTCTAAGTCTTCTGAGGAAGAAGAGACGCTGACGGGCTTTCTTAACCAGGGAGTTGATGTGACAGGACCATGACAGGTCCTGAGTGATGTGGACACCCAGGTATCGGAAACTGTCCACTCTCTCCACTGGCGTGCCACTGATGATGAGGGGTTTGTAATTCCTCGCCTGCTTTGTAGTGAAGTCCACGATCAGCTCCTTAGTCTTGCTGATGTTTAGGAGGAGGTTATTCTCCTGACACCAGGTCTCCAGGTTCCTAATCTCCTCCAGGTAGGCCGTCTCGATGTTGTCGGAGATCAGGCCAACAACAGCAGTGTCGTCAGCAAACTTGACAATGGAGGTGGTGTCGGATGTGGCTACACAGTCATAACTGTACAGTGAGTACAGCAGGGGGCTTAAAACACAGCCCTGAGGCACTCCAGTGCTGAGTGAGATGGAGGGGGAGACTTGTTTTCCCACCCTATAAATTCACAGTTATAGGAGCAAATTTTCCCTAAAATGATGTGGAAGCCAGCTGTCAAGGAAGCTACGTTGTAGATGTTCACTGTATATATTTCAGCCGTTTAATAAAAATAAATGAGTCCCACTAACAAATACTGCCTGTTTGTTGCTAAGTTATCGATGTTCTCCAAAAGATATTAAACATTAAACACTCAAACTTGCCAAACACATTGCTCTTAAACTTGATTTGGGAAGGTTAACAAAAATGAAAACAAAATTCCATTTTTGTGACCTATTTCAAATGGATTTATGCTTAAGGAATGAGTAGAAATTAATTGGTTTTCAGCTACAAGAAAATATAGAACAATGCCTGCCAGTCTTTTTCTTTTATAAATATTACTTTGAACAGTGTGCGGACACTATCTAATTAATTATTCAAATCGACATGCTGATCTTAGTGCTGACTTTACTGATTCAAAAAGGAAGCTGTTAATCCATGTTAACAATCCATGTTTCCACTGGATTTGATTTGTTGCTACAGCTTCATATGATGTGAAGCTGACTTTTCCTCTTTTAGTCCCTGAGTAAAATGATGCTGTTGATGGTGTGCTGTGTCTTCAATGTTTATCTCCTGGTGTATAATCACATTTACTGTATAACCACATTTAAATTATGACGTAGATGCTAACAAGTCAAGCATCAGTCTTACTTTTTACTGGAATACTTGTACACTAAGCTGGTGTGTGGTTATGAATTTAGGACTGAGTACAGTACAAAAGTCTTCAGCCACCACTTATTTCTTTATATTTTGCCTTGAACAAACCAGACGTTTTTGGACTTTGGCTGCTTTTTCACTCATTTTCAGTCCACTCTTTGTACCTGGCTATTTTCAGAGGAAGGTTGTGTTTTTTAAAACCACTTACTGTGGTTGAATCATTCAAGCATACAGAATATGCCGAACCTAATGGGTGAACCAGTGTTGTAGCTACAAATATAACAAAATGTATCTTTAGGCACTTTGTTACTATTAGCTTAGCCTATTAAAAAAATGATAATTATTTGCAATTTCTTTACTTGAAACTTGAATCTATGAAAAATTCCAAAATAACTCAGTTTTTCAAGCATATAAACTGTGCTTTTGTACCAATATGGTGAAACCCAAAGAGCCAAAAATCTAGCACATCTCTACATGTTATACAGTGTTTCCTTAAAGACACATAATGGAAATGACAGAGACAGAAGTGGCAGGCCTAAAAAACTACAAGACAAACCAGGGACAAAAAGCAGGGGTATGTCACATCACTGAAAAAAGACTGAATATCAGTTGCGACAGGTCATATGGGGTGGTGAATCCAAATTGAAAATTTTGGGTTCAATCAATTTGAAGACAGAGGAGGTCAGGCGAGAGCTACAACAGTGAGTGTCTACAGCCATCTGTAAAACATTTCAGACAGTGGTGCTGGGGATCTTGTCAGAACTGATGGAATTATGAATGCATTGAAGTATTTTCAGATCTTGATCCACCGTGCTGTACTAGCTGGAAAGCGTCTGATTGACATCACAATGATCCCAAACACACTGTCAATGCAGTAAAAGCACACCTGGATATCGGTCATGGATTGGTCTCCCCAGAGCCTGGACCTCAACATCCATGAAGCGGTGTGGGATCGTCTTGTGTGGTCATACCAGATATTGGCTTTTGAACTTATTATAATTGTACAAACTCTGTTGCACATATTTCAGTAAATAAATTCACCAGTTTCTTAGCAAAATACAAAGAAATGAAAGGTGGCTTAAGACGTCTGCACAGTATTGTAAATAAACTCTATTATATTTTTTTATAATGTGTACTGTATACATCCTACATATGTCTGTGGTCTTGTAATTCTGCACATCGGTCTGTGTGTATATATGTGAAATGATTTGTTTGCTTGTGTGTGTGAACTGCGTGTACTCAAGAGTGAAAATAACAAGCAGAGGAGTCAAACTGTCATCCTCCACCAGCGCACTGCTTCTTTCTTCTCTTTCACTCCTGGTGATAAAGTGTTATTCTGTCGCTCTTCGAGCAACAAGCCAGGGCCTCAGCCACTGAAACCAGCACCCGGGGAATGATATGTGTGTGTATCAGTGTGCTGCTAGTGCGTGACGGACACCTATCCCATAATAATGTCACACACATCAAAAGGCTCCGCCTCTCTTCATTCAACCCTCTCTTTCTCTTCATTTTTCTCCTTCCATTTCTTCCTCTGTCTGCCAAAGTCTATCACAGTTTCTCACCCCCCCCCTCCTGTACACCTCCAGCCCATCTATCCAAGCCCCCACCTATCAAAGAAAGTGAGACCGAGAGACGCCGATAATAAACGCGCGTGTACAAAGCGCCGTCTAGCCTTGGAGGGATGGATGTGTGACAATAAGGTGTGACTCTTTCCAGATTCTTTAACAATGAGCGTAGCTGTGAAAGAGGAAAATGGATGCTGCAAGTCACCTTCAGGCATGCACAATATGGAAACGCTTTTAAACTTACATGGACGCACATACCGTGTTTCTGCGCGTTACAAAACGCCACTCAAACTTGCTTACACATATAAGACACATGCATATGTTGCTTTATGTGCACACGATATTGTATGTACACATCCACGGTCACACAAACACACTTGCATGCACACACAAGATAATTAATGGTGGTGGCGAATCCCCCTCAGCTGTGGGAGAGTAAATTGCTTTTTCACCCTCCACAGATTTCAGCCTGCTCGTTATGTTGATGATGCCAGAGCGACTAACAGAAGCACAAACTGCCTGCTACATTCTCCCCCCTTTCCTCCTTTGTCTCCAGACACAAATACCAGTGCACACATTCCTACAGAGCAGAACTGTTTATATACACATAACATGCACAGGAACAAAAACAAATCTTAATAATTGTGTGAAGCAAAAGGGAAAGAAAAAAAAATAGGATTGTGTGCATGTTCATGTGTGTCAACTATTAGCACTGACTGGAAGCCACATAGGTGAAGAGGTCAAAGGGTGAAGGTGTAATTGGGGCTTCTTTACCCCACTCTGCTACTCTTTCCACTTTCTTTTCATAGCAGCATATTCTATCCCACCGGTTATCCTTGACTTTACTTACCTTACTGCCTACTTTTATAATCATTATGGTTTTATTCCTTTATTTTGATTACAGTTTTTCTCAGTCGCTTTGGTGCGTTTCTCAGAACACCATTAACATTTGCACAGCAGTTAGTGCATTTCCCAAAACAATTAGTGCAAACTGCAAAACCTAGTGGATAGCCTGCAAAAGCACGTCACATGCACAGAATTGATTATCCATACCTCAAAAGCAAGTATCCATGTCAATGAAACTGTCAGTGCCATCAAAATGAAAAGTCTTGACACCATCTTTATGAACAAGATAGTCAAATGGCATTGTCATGTTTCCACTATGACAGTTTATAATTTCAGTGTTTCCCATTGCAAAAACAATTGGTGACACCTGAAAATGCTGACGACAGCACTATGGCCTACCTGTACAGCCATCTGAAATGTGCAGTAAAGTCACTGTAGATGTTATGGGAGTCTTGGGAGTAACTGAGACACTGAATACGTACGTTTCACATTTCCATTGTGTAGAAGTGTTTGTAATCCTACAGAATTGTGCAAAAGAAAAATATGCTACAGTCACTTGTTCACTGTAGAATACATGTAAACATAAAATCACCCATTTGGTAGAGCCTCCTCATGAGTGACAGCTGTAATTCACCTGAGATCAATTGTTCAATTTCGGAGACATTTCCAGGAAAAATGATACAGAAAGGTATAGGATTTGCTTGACAGATGGCCAATATTTGGCATGTGATAACTAGTTCAACAATTTTGTGTGTGATGACTTAAGCAATGGATGTATGACTATTAGTTTTATTGGGAATGACTATTCAGCATCCATAGGTATGATTACTTTTGACTGACATGACATAAGCAAATGGAAATGTCAGAAAGCAGCAGGGAAATGTATGGAAGCAACTGATTCATGTCCAAAATCATTTGCAGTTTGTTCAGAGAGAGGAGAAATTGCTACTATGATGTGCACAAATGACTGAGTGTTGTGGAGGTTGAACTAATAGTTATGAGAATTTCAATTCTGATCTGAGAAACGCACCAAAGCGACTGAGAAAAACTGTAACTGCTAAGGACTGTGGTAAAAAAAAAACATCTTTTCACTGTAATCAACATTACGTTTGAGAAAATCCAGCACAGATCTTTTGTTTTCTCATGTCCGGTGTAATCTTTTTAAATCTTACTGTGGGCTTTGATCAGGTTTTACACGCAAACTAACTGGAAACAGAAAGTCATCTCAGCTTAACATCACGTTTCAAGTCTCTCTCAAGTCGAGATCAGTACACGAAAGATCCTTTAATTTCGATTTTCTAGAATGTTGTAGATTGGTTTTCAAGTATGTGCTGCTTGAATTAGCCTAGGTAACAGAGGCACACTCATTATTCCCTACTAGCATACAAGTGATTAAAATTCTGCCACTAAAGTATTTTCTGAACAATGTAATATTTTAAATAGTCATCTCTGTAAATTTGAATCTGCACCCAGTTGTCAGTTTATTAGCTATACCTTACTAATACCAGGTTGGACCCTGTTTTGCCTTCAAAAATGCTTTAATTCTTCGTGGCATCGATTCAACAAAGTGCTGAAAACTTTGATCTATACTGACGTGATAGCATCACACAGTTGCTGCTTTGTTGGGTGCACACCAATCAATCTCACAGGTGTTAGATTTAGATCTGATGATTGTGGAGGTTATTTTCAAGAAACCAGTTTGAGATGATCTGAAAAAATATCTCCCTCACTATTACACCACCACCACTGTTGATTCCATGATGGATCAGACCATTTTTCAATCTCTATTGTCCTATTTGGTGAGTCCATGTGAATTGTAGCCTCAGTTCCTCCTGTTTTTAGCTGACAGGAACAGCCTTATGTTGCAGTAGCTTCAAGTCTGGATATGTTGTGCACTGCACAGCTTGTCTGGTACAAACAGCAATGACACATTTAAAATCACTTAAATCACCTTTTCCACGCATTATGATGGCCTGTGTGGACTTCAGGAGCCTGTCCTGACCATCTCTACATATCTAAATGCACTGAAATGTTGCCATGTGATTGGCTGATTGCATATTTCCATTAACCTGAAAAGGCTCAAGCAATCAAATAAAATGAACAGTGTGCGTTGAGTTCATACCCTGAAGAATTCTTTAGTGGAGCCTGAGTCCAGCGTCCCATAGGCTATCTCTGTCTGTTTGGCCAAGTCCTCTGCACTCTCTATCGGTGAAACCATCCTCTCCACAGTGAGGAATGCAGCCAAGTTGGCTGTGTAAGAGGAGATGATGATAAGAGTAAAGAACCACCACACACCTCCAACAATACGTCCAGATAGAGACCTGCAGAGAAGAGAGTGGGGAGTGAGGTAGGGAGAAAAAACAGGGAAAAAAGAGTGAGGTGTAAGAAAGGGAAAGATAAAGTCAATTTTTTTTTTTTACAAAGTGGCCAAGATGGCAAGATTAGGGAGATGAAAGAAAGCAAACACAGACGAGAAATCAGCAGATGGATGAAACGGAGATGGTTAAGGTAAAGACAACAGTGAAGGGATTAAAAAACGAGAGAGAGAAAGAAACACAATTACCGTTGCAGAGATATGCAACACAGAAAACTGTAGCTTCACAAAGCGTTCTGTGTGCATGACAAAACTGACAGTACCGCCAAAGTAATTGTCTTTCAACCTGAAAACTAATTCAGCACTAACAGCAACTGAGGCTACATGAAACAGATAGCAATCGGGGCAAGCCAGCATCTCTCTCATCCTCTTTCCTTCTTTTCCTTTTCTCCATGCTTACGCTGTTTATCTCCCAATTGTGAGCAGGAGCATCAAAGTAAGTGGCAATTCATTTTTTTTTTTTTTTTTTATGAACTTGTTTTCACTGAGTAAAAGGAAGGAAAGCAAGTGAGAATGAACCTATTAGAGAAAGTCAGAGAAAAATACATGAAGGCCACACGATGTTTCCTTTTAAGTACCGCAGTCAGTAAAAGACCTTGAAATTCTAATGGGCAGAAACAGCAACAAGGAAAATAATAATACAGAAAAAAATCAAAAAAACAACTTCACTTCAGAGGAGTGAGAAACAAAGTGAAAATATTACTGGGCATACACTACAAGACATTCAGAAAGAAAGAAAAAAATGCAGAAAATGACTGATAAAAGACCTGATAAATAACTTGAGCATGAAAGCAAATCATCAATTCTAATTCATCGCTTTTGCTTTTAAGAAGCACCTTAATATTTTTTTTTTTTTAGGTAAAATTACACCAAAAAGAAATAAAACAACTGAAAGGTGCTATGATGAACTCCTGATTCAGGTGATCTGTGATCCGTTGTTATCATAAAAACACTGATTATAGCCACTTAAACCTCGGGCGATAATCAGATCCTCTTGCATACAATCAGACAATGTGTTCCGATATTTACCGGACAGCCTGGTGATACCAACACTCTGATGTGAGAGCGGCGGCAGACAAATTATTTTTAGTTGGGTTTATTTGTAAGAAGTGTGAGCGGAAGAGAAAACGAGGAGCGAGAAAGTGGAGAGATGCATTGACGCCTGACTCGGCATAAATTGTCACCTTTTGGAGCAACTCTGCATTATGCTGCTCTTCAAAATCCATCGCACCTCTTAATCCACACACACGCAAACACACACAGACTTGATAGTGTTTGTCCTTGAGGCCTTGATCTGTTTGCTTGAAATAATGAACCTGGCATACACCGTGATGGATTCTCAGACGAAACTGTTGTTAGATATATTTTTATACTTATTAGGATACAACAGAAACTTTCTGTTTTTTTAACCATGTGACACTTTGATGTAATGTTTGTCTTTGAGCCCAGAAAAGGAAATATGCCGGTGACAGAGATTAGGAGGATGAAGAGGATGGCATGTTCAGAAGTTTCATAGATTTCACAGGATTTCTGTTAGTGGCCAAAAACGCAGAGGTGATCTGACTGGTTAGCTGGTGAACAATACCTTATTAATTCAACCTTGTGGAGTGACTCTGGGTGAGTGGAAAAAGAAAGTGGTATAAAAGAAAAAATGACCGTGTAAGGAATCTGTTGAAGTTTAAGTTGCACCTTATTGATCACTGGGGAAATTTTGTCCTCTGTAACTGACCCATTATAATCACTGAGTGGCATTTGGCAGAGTGCACGGCTTATTTCCTTGGCTAGTGCTTCAGGCAGGACCGGTGACAAGAGAAGTGGCGTAAAACTTTACTGCAGTTCTGAATATCTTGTATTCATAAGCATTACATAAACTTTTAATAACCAATATACGCTCTAATGTATTTTTAAGGAGCATTTATTAATTCATTTGACAGCTCCTCTTGGGGCAACCGCAGGTGCTGGTATGAGCAGATACTGAATGACAATACACTGCAGCAAAACACATCTCTAACATAAAATATACGGGTTCCTCAAATTTATTATATCAAATTAAAGGCTCCGGCCTACAGCTTTCATAAATTAACACTGTTGATAATAACGAAAATCATTTTTGCAACGTATACGCAGGCTCTTTAATAGAAATTTTAAGCTAAAATATAACTACTGTTGTTTTCCAACAATTTTCAGATTTACTATAACCTAAACCACGTTCTTGCCCTAAAGTAGTGCAAACAGCCACAGATGCAAAAGAGAAGAAGTAAAATAGTAATTGCCAAACATAGGATACAAACTGAAAATCGTCTGTTTGATATGTGTCTAAATCACTACCTCCTTCACTGAAAATGGACTCTTTATACCAGTTAAACTGACTTGTTTTCTGGAAGTGTAATTTCTCTTGCTGCTTCTGACCTGTAGAGGCACTAGACCAGCATGTAAGCAAGCACTCTTGCTTTTTTTTAAAGCAGATGTTAGTAGCATTCCTAATAACATGCAATCTTACTGTAGCGAACAAAATCGCTTTTTTTGTCCACCAACTCCTCCTACACGATCAGGAGTTGAGGAATCAAGACAATCGGGCACACTGGTTCATCACAGCCCACTGAAGGTTCTTATCAATATCACATGCTATGGCATCATCGTGTGATCTAGCAATCACCTAACAGTGATCTAAAACCACAGTCTAAACCAGGGGTGGGCAATTCCAGGCCTCGAGGGCCGGTGTCCTGCAGGTTTTCAAATCTCACCTTGGGTCAACACACCCGAATCAAATGATTCGTTCGTTACCAGGCCTCTGGAGAACTTCAGGACATGTTGAGGAGCTAATTTAGCCATTTAAATCAGCTGTGTTGGATCAAGGACACATCTAAAACCTGCAGGGACACCAGCCCTCGAGGCCTGGAGTTGCCCACCCCTGGTCTAAACAGTACTACAGTATGAACATGTACTAGGACCTAAAATGCATGTGTCATTAGATGAGAGAGGAATAAGGTACGATGAGGACATATTTCTTCTTCTTTTTGCATTAGAATTGTCATCTTAAACTAAACACTGCATCCATCAACGCCAAGCAGCATTTCCAGCTGTAGTTGTTGACAGATGAATTTCCGAGGTCCATTATTTTATCAGCAGAATGCTCAATTCGAGCATTCAATCATTTTTCTAATTAATTGTATTTACATTAAACCCGTGAGGTTCTTTGAATAAATCATCCTCAGTGTTCATGAATCTAAAATGATCACATCTGATTCATTTTATTTCTAGATTAAAGGTTTCATAGGGGGGAAAACAGAATGTTGGACCACAGTGCAGGACAGCCAGCAAAGTTAATCTGACATTATAGTAGAGTCTAATTTACTAATTTTTTTTTTCACTTTAATACCTTAACTTTGGCGTGTCATTTGCTGGGCTGAGACTGGGCTAGCATCTGCTGCAAACAATCTCCCTTTGTTCTGTTTACATTCAGACTAAACTTGATCTTAGCGAGGATTTTCTTTTTTTTAAATGATAAAACCCGGCAATACAGTGAAGAGCCAGGGAAAGATGGGCTTCCCCATTTAAATAAGGCTCAGCGTTTAATGAAGTCCTACAAATCTGTAACATAAAGCAAAGTCGTTAAACCTCACAGTAAAGCTTCTCACACTAATTACAATACACTGGGAAGAGACACAGATTGTGCAGCCTTTCAGTGTGTTTAAGGCTGATTTACAATTATAGCTACTCCCATGCACAGTTTTCCTCTTGCTGAATGGGCTGTTAATACAGATGTGACAATGACAGAAACACTGTAAAAGTTAAACGGCTCACTGAGTCTGCACATGCGCTTTGACACATTCCTTTATGCTATGTTGGGGGCGAGGTTACTGCTTTTATTCTGAAAATGAACTAAAAATGGTTCTGTATCTCAGGCAGCTTGATAGAAAACCATCCTATTGGAGAACACGTTTGCCCTCTGGCGCTTGATTTAGATGGAATCGTGTGTGACAATATGTGCAAGCAGGCATGTGTACAAATGTGCTTTCATGTGGACGTGTGGATGAATTCAGCTGTTCTCAGAGTGCATGCCAGTACACTCGGCTGATCTTTGACAGCAGTGTCTTTGATTCTTTTCGCGTCTGTGTGAGAGATGCTGCCTGTGTGTGCGGTTTCACGGTGTTGGTATGCAACAGGCGAGTCATTCTATAGCTGGTCATGTATCATCTATGATAGCCAACAGATTGCCTCCCCAATCCAGTGTGTGAAAGATTAATGGCATGCTGTTCGTCTTCACTCCCTCTCACACGGACTCACACTGTCACCCGCAAACACTCGAATCCTTCTGAGCTATGCAATTTGTTTAGCATCCAATACATCTGGATTTCATCGCCTGACAGAAGAGACTGCAATTTTGAGCTTCAGGTGTGCCCATAATATCTAGAGTGTGTTTTTATTTTTACTCCCATAAGACCAATTGAAGATCAGTGTCAGGCAGATCAGTTGAAAACTATAATCAGTTACTCATTAAATGTTATTTCAGCAACAATTACAACGAGTCACCTCACTTGACTTCACTTTGATCAGTCAACATCAAAGATTCCTTTAAACACCTCCAAACCATCTAAAGCAAAGCTGTCTTCAAGTTACGGGAGGAAGCGAGACCAGTTTCATCAAATATCAAGTCTGCTGGCAGTGTGACTGATGTTTTAAGAAAGTGAAGCTTAAATGTTTGCTTTTGGCACAATAAAAGACAGAAAGGCTGAATAATGCAGGTGGGAGGCATAATATAATACAACCTTTCTCTTCTTTGTCTCTTCTTGCTTTCATCTTTTTCCGGGACCGACTAGAGGTGTGACATAAAGTAAATCGGCAAAATGATTGAAACGGGCTCAAAGACGCCACAGCAGATGAAGGCAGAATAAAGGGCATCAAGGCGAACATGAAAAAAAAAAATCAAATTAATCGATTAAACAG